GACAAAAGCACACTGAGGCAAATCTGGAAATGCCGTTGTTACTAAAAGCTGCCTCCTCAGCAACAAGTGAAGAGTTGGTATCCTTACTGTTGCTGCAGCATCTTTGTTAAACCATCCAAGTTTTTAAAGCTCCAGTAACATAAGAAATTAATATAACCAAGGTATATAAGTCAACAAAATAGTAAATACCTTGCAACAAATGTTACTGTTAGCGTCGACATATCAAGCCTTTGCCCTAATCCAATAATCGCCTTAAGGCAAATTGCCATGCTACGCTTCACAAGAGTATCTTGCATTCTATGATAGCAAGGGAAGGAAGAAGATAGGAAGGTGAACACAGGCCTCAGATACTTATTTTAAAGTAAAAATAATTCTACTACATCAAATTTTCTAGTGTTTCATTCTGAAAAGTTTCATTTCTTCCAGAATGATAGCATCATACCACATATAAATAATTATAATACTTTAAAGTATTTTACAAAAGCACAAAGAAAACACAAAGCTTTCATACAAAAAAGGGGGAGGAATAGTTTTTAAATATCGCTAGTTGACATGTTTGGGGTTTTTTAAAAGTCAAACATCACAATTCAATTTGAATGTGCTGGGTTAGCCACAGTATGTATAAGGGGAGAGAAATCAATTTATATTATACTAAGGAATTATTCAGACAGGCTGCTGGTCAACTGATACATATTATTTTTTTAGTGAAATATTCAAATGAATGTCAGATATGCCCATATAGGCCACGTAAACCCAGTGGATGACCTTGAGCAAGTCACACTCTCACAGCCTCATGGGAAGGCAATGGCAAATCGCCTTCTGAAGAAACTTACCAAGAAAACCCCATGATAGGCTCACCTTAGGATGCCATAAGTCAGAAATGACGTAAAGACACACAACAAGTACAACATTCTATGAAGCTCAAAATATCTTGATGTTAAGTGGCAACCTATCATTTTAATTGCATCATGACATCAACTTGTAGGCAAGACGTGAGTAAAGTGTCTGTTCTCCCGCTCAGCAAATCAAAGCGTGTGTGCAAACACAGACACACACTGAGACCTAAGAAACATTATTTTGGACTCCAGCATCAAGTTCAAGAATCTTGGTCATGCAGGTAGCTGGATTCTGAGAGTGTAATCTAAAAAATAATTTTTAAAGCCATGCATGCACCTACCTATTTTACTTTTTTTGATCCTAAATTTTAGGAGCACGTATGGTAGTCCTACTATGATACCTATGTTTTGAGGCAGAGTTCTAAATGACACATTATTTGTTTAAGCTGTAAATCTTTAGTCACTCATCTAAGATTAAAACCCATTGAAATCAACAGGATTTACTTCTGAAGAAAAATGTACTGGGCTGCTTTGCTGGGTTTTTTTTAACCAAAAAAATATCCACCTACATTACATCTGGGTTCTACAATAAAAGTCAGTACTTCTTGGTCTATGGAATATCACTCATATACCTGAATCCTCATCTAAATTTATAATTTAATTATATATTCCTAACAGCTAACAGCATAGCTCTCCCCCTGTCCCCTGAAACTGAAAGGCATGCTGTCAACTGTTATGAAAATATAATCAGAGTGTAAGAGAGAGACAGAAATATCTAGCCTATTCACACTTTAATTGAACAGTATTTGACTGGTCAATATTTCACTCTGAGGGAAAAAGCCATTACATGTAATTAATTGGCCTTTTAAATTGTTGTTGTTGTTGTTGTTGTTGTGTGCCTTCATTTGTGACTTATGGTGACCTTAAGGTGAACCTCGTTGGGTTTTCTTGACAAGATTTGTTCAGAGGTGGTTTGCCTTTGCCTTCCTTTTTAAGAGTCAAAAAGTTAAAAATTTCAGTCCTTGCCAAGGTCACTTCTTCCAGTATCCCTTGACTCATAAATGAGTTCAGCACTGATAAATTCATTTTATACAGCACACATCTAAATGAACTTACCGTATTTTCCGGCGTATAAGACGACTTTTGAACCCCCAAA